TGAATATATAGACTTCTTAAAAGTATAACAGTCCCTATATAAAGTGAGACCTGATAAGTGATTTGTGAATAGACTAAGCATCTGTGAAACGCTTTTTAAGATACAACATTATAAGACTTTATTAGAATATGAATCTGTACTTTACCCAAGGAAACATTTTGAAACACTCTCCAGTTATTCAGTTAAAAGTTTGTTTACGGTAGCATGTGGCATTATATCCCCCTTAGTAAAACCGTCTTTTCACATTACTAGTGTGTATCAGTATCTGTGTTTAAAAGCTATGTCATCACCTTATGGCTTCTACTGTATGAAATTCACTAAATCTCTTGGATATGTACTAATGCTAGTGCTCAACATAGGTTTTCAGAAGTTAAGCGTCAGAAAGACTAACACAATCTAAAAGCGGGACACGTTTTGCTCCATTGCTTATTTTGAGTAATACCCTATTTTGCAACCATTAGTGTAGAACTTAGACTGAGGAAGGCTGAATCCATGTTTCTTATGTTGTGCTGGAAGCAATTCTCTTCATAGTAGCTGACCTATGGGGTTTTTTCCCCAAAAATTTGGTTTTTCTTTCATATGCATTATACAAAAAGAGGATCAGAGTGCCATATGAGTGCCATATAACAACATAAAACAGCATGGTACCAGCTCAGACTGAGAACTCTCAGAATAACTGATACCAGTGCCTCTGAAGGAACACAAAAGCAAGGTCAGCAGTCAGCTTTCCTGGATATTGTCTCCCAGTCTCCAATGATTTGGAGTAGTTTCTGAGCTAGAGGTGGTGTGTTTGTGGTATTTTGTGGCAAATATTTCAGAAGAAATAAAAGTTGAAAAATAATTAGGATTAACAATCTATTGCTGGTGTGCAAGGTGCATTTTTTAATGATCTATGCTCAGGAGAATGCCCTGAAAGACTTTAAAGAATTCTGTGTTGTCAGTGGCCTCTGTTTACTTCTAACTCTGTAACTTTGCGTTTCAGAGGCAGATATAAAAAAAACACAGAAGAAGCTGCTGTTGTAATTTTCGCCAGTGATCTCATTTTTAGAATTCCTGATACCTACCAGCCTGAGTGTATGTCCCTTTTCTGTGCTCCTCTTGTCCATGCCCTCAGAATGGTGCACAGTTTTCAAAGATCCTTTTTATTTGCTCTAATTTGGGTGCTGTCTCCATGTTGAAGAGGTCTTTATGGTTTACTGGTACCAGAAAACTCTGGTAAAACACGAGGGATGTTGGAATATGCCAATGCCTGTCCAAATGTTCAAATTACCCTGGTGTCCAGATGATGTAGGACATGAACTGCTCAATTATCTTGCCTGTGAAAAATGTTAAACCTAAAAATTTTGAGAAGTAGGGAGTTCAGCAAACTTTCAGAAAATTCTATGCAGTGTTAACTCATTTTGTTTAGTGTCTGAGAAGCTTCTCAACATTAAAGGTCTTCCTCAAATTATCCCTAAAGCTCTTACAACACCCTGTCATCAGAAGTTTCTTGTGCAGTCAGGAGTTTCTTGATCTGCAAGAAATTTCTCTAAATTCTTCCTTATTTCTGCTTTCAGTTTTGAGAAATGTTCCTCTACTGTAGGATTTGTAGGAACTTTGTTTTCTGCCCAAACTCAGATCCACATAATTGGAGGGAAAGAAGGGGTTATTTCAGTATTTCAGATTTTTGATTCTGGTTGATTGTTCAGTGTAATGGCAGATTGTGTGTCTGTCTGTGTCCACTATAAAAACTACCATTGTTGAGCTGCTTTCTTCCCTGGCAGGGAAAGTGAGGACAAAAAAACCCTGAATCAGGCAGGGAATTTGGCTTGTGTGCCAGGAAAAATCTGCAAGCAAAAGCAATTAAGCTCATATATAACTCTCTTCAGACTTTAATGTTTTGCAGAATCATTTTTCATATATTGAGCAGTACTGTCGCAGCATCGGAGGTTTAACTTTTGCGTATTTTCATTATGTAGTCTTGTGCAGCTCTTGCCGGTAACAGTCATTTGAAGTGTCAATGCAACTGATGAAATCAGATGGGCCATGAACTGTTGGGTTTGAAAGCTGTCACTGAGAAATATAACTATTTTTTTATTTTGAAGTTGCTTCATGAAAGTTTAAAAACAACACAAAATAATGTATATTCATTAATTCAATAATACAGATTGTTCCAAGAGATACTTTTTTATCTGTATAGTATAGCTTTAGGGGGAATTAGTTACTTTTATTAGTGAAAAATTAACATCCATAAGAATTTCGTGGTGTACTGTCTGGATTTGAACCAGGTTTTTGAGAATTATTCAACATGGTTGAATCACAGCATTTTTCAGAAATATCTTGTGTCACAATGGGAGCTGCTGAGCTTTGAGCATGCCCTTTTGTGCTAGTTCAAAATTTAAAATTAGTGACCTGTTTCAAACATCTGTTTTCCACTTGGTGCATTTACTTTAGCATGGGTAAAGTCTCTATGAAGGAAGACTATAATGGATTAAAACTGTTTTTCCTGTTAATTAAATATGACACTCCTAGTCTGCTCCTTCATCACTCTCCCAGCTGCTGGGAACATCATGAGACTATTTTCTTGCAAGTATGCCCCTTGGTATTAATTTCTTTTGATTTTATGCCATTGCTTCTATGGACAATTCCTAGACATACACAAGCGGGCAAGACAAATCTTTATGTCATTTTAAGAAACAGGACCTTAGAAGATAAAATAGGATTCATATTCCAGTTATCCCTGAGCAAAAGATGTAGCTTTGCTGTTCAGTATACATTTTGAGTCTACTTAATTTTCTTGTGACAATTAGGAAAGAATGAGTTTTCAGTTTCTTAGAGAATGCTCAGAAAGGAAATAACGCTACAAAGTCATTCAGAGTCCCTGTGGAACGGGGTTGCAAAATCAGATCCAGCATTAACTGTATGGACAGTAGAGGGGAGACTCCAGATTTTTATTTTCAGGATGTTCTTTTCTGTGGTGCTTCCAGTTTACTCCATGTCTCTGTTGAAGAGCTCTGCCTCTCCAACATAACTAGTGCTGCACTAGTCTTTCTTCTGGTCAAGAGGTAACTAGTGGAAGTCCTTTCTTATTCTCTATTTTCCTTTGTATACTAACTGTCACTGATGGTCATTAGTTGAAGCAATACCTGTGCATGAGCTAACATGCTGTTTAAGCTTGGTTATCTACAGAATAAATGGCAAGGTCAGACACCTAGCATTTTTACTTACTTTTCTGTACTCTATTATATACTGAGAGTAACAGTTCACTATTCAAAAACAAAACAAAATATAATGGGGGATGGATAACTAGAGTAAGGGTTCAGTGGCTGGGATACCTCCCTTTGATGCAGCAGAACCAATATAATTATGGCACATTAGGCTGAAAATGTGATCGAAAACATAGTTGCTAGCTAGCGACGGCTTCCAAACTCATCTCCTCTTACCTATGGAAAGAATTAATTGGGATTCAATAATTGTGTGGAGGAAATCAGAGTCACTTGTTGCCCTTTTAAAAGATGGCTAGTTCATTTTGCTGTTGCGAGTGTCCTTAGTATGACTTTCAATCTTTCTTTGATCCTGAATGAGGAGAATAAGGTAATGAGGACCGTGTGAATATAGACTGCTTTTCTTTTGACAAGAGCCAGAAATCATAAATAGAGATTTAATTTATCTTTAATTTGCTATCAAATAAGGTCCATTGAGATGAAGACATTAATGGAAAATGACCATATTAGTGTTCTTTTTTCAAAAACAAAAGGCAAAACCTGTAGAGGAGCAATACTTCTGAATTTCTGAGAGTATCAGAAACACTGCAGAGGAAAAAGTAGTGAAAATTATTTGACAGAGGACTGCTAACTACAACAGACTTAAACAACAAATAGGCATATCATAAAAAAAATCAATACTCAGGGACACAGAAAATAGAGATGGAAAAGATGTATTGGGTCATATTCTGCATCTCCTGCTAGACTACAGTTGTTCACTGCAGTATATCTTTTATCTAGTGTAGCCTTAAATTGCTCAAAGGAAAAGAAATTCCTCTACTTCCTTTGGGAGCGTCTGCCACAGACTGAAAATCTCACTGTCAAGGGACGTTTCCAGACATTTAACCTAAATTATGCTCATTTTCTAACCATTAGTGCTGAAGTTCCCTTCTTGGTGCTTATGCCTCTCAGAAGGACTTTGCAATCATAGTCTCTTTTATATTGTTTGCTCATTATACAAAGAAAAAGCAAGTCTCCGGAAATCAATAAATAATGGCAGGGCAGAGTGGTGCTCTTAGATCCTAGTTGCTAGAACAGCAATGTGCACATATCTACACTTTCATCTTTCTCTGTTCCATGGTTAGCAGAGCAACTTTCCAGTAGGATGAATAAGCTGGAGGGCTATGGGTGACCATACTGCTTCCAAAACAAGTAATACACCCCTGTCTGGCATGGTGTTAGGAAGTGTACCCTTAACCCAAATGGGATGTGCAAAACAAAGCGTAATAAGGCATGGCTGTTGCTATCCAAGTTTTTCAGGACACTCTGAGAGGCAGGTATCTCAGGGAAATTCTGTAGAACTTAATTTTGTGTAAGAATAAATGGTACATTTTGATAAACAACTTCTTGTAAGAGAAACAATTAAGCAGAGGTATGGAGAGGTCAAGCTTTTGTGGAGTGTGGGTTTATGTCGGAAAAAATATGTTACGTTACTCAATGCCTCACACTGGTACTCTCCAGACTTTCTGTGGGCCTTCGAAGTAAAAAAATTAAAAATTCCAGCTGTAATCACTTTCTAGGACATGCCCTTCTTATTAATTACCACACCGTAACTCTGAACGAGGGCAATTTCAGTATTTTGGCATCTGTTAGTTTAATACAAATGACAGGTAATGGCATACTCACAAAATGCAAAGCTTTTCTTTCCTTGAAACCTTCTCTTGAAGATGCCCTTTTTTTCTGTAGACCCTGTCACTGTCTTTAAATACTGGTGACACCTTTAGCTCTACCCTGTCACATGATTTTCCTGTATCTTAGAGTCTTGCTGCCAGATGAGGACACTGGACAGCGGGATTGGAACTTTCCCCCTTCCTGACTCAGGGAACCGATCTACAGGGCGACATGTTTCTAAGCAAGAGTCAGCTCTGGAAATAGAAGTCCTTGCACCGTCTGAGCAAGTTCTTTCAGCTCCTTCAGTAAAAGCCAAAACTCTTGAGCGAGAAGTGCCTTCAACAGCTAAGAGCCAGGAGTCTGTGGAAAGCATAATTAGTCACTCAACATCTGATCCGGCCATGACTGCCAAAGGTATACGACCTTTTCAAAGTCGCCTTCCAAAACCAGCTTCCTCAGGTAAAATGTCAATTACACTGAAAATCACATTATTTCTGCCCTGATGTCTGTTTTGATTAGCAGAAGTCCTATAATAATGACAATTGATAACACAAATGTTAAATGCAAAGCAGAAGATGTTCTTTTTATGAATGCATAAGGTTAAGAAGTTTGAGACCTGAACTGTATGGAAATTTTTTTACACATAATGCTTATCAGAGAAAGAAAAATGTGTTAAGTATTTAAATCCTTTTCTCAAGAAACAGTACTTGAAGAAAAAACATATGCCAGCCTTGAAATACTCAGGATCAGCCTTTGCAGCAAAGTACAAAGCACAGTCATGTTGTGACATAGAAAAGATGTATTCATAAAGACTTGCTTTTGAAACCAGACTTGGTCTAAAGACTCATTTGGCCTCAGTGCTAACGAACATATGGCCTGGACCTCAAATAATACTCTCATTACTTTACTACATTATAGGAATACATTTCTGTAGACGAACATAAAATACCTTACTTTCACTGATCAGCTACATGTGTGTTTAAACTAGAAAGCAAAAACTGAAAGGAATAAAAGGTATCCAGGAAAGCACCAACAAATAATTTGGTATTAGTAAATGGTTCCATTGAACTCTGTGCATTTTTTCATAAATGCACACTGACCATTTATATACATTTCTGAAGGGTTTTGAATTATCGATATGTATGTCAGTAACAATAGAAACCACTAAATAAAGTGTTCATAACACGGAATTTTTCATAGTCAGCATGATAGATATGGTACAAAAAGCAGTAAAAGTAATTGGTTTAATGGGGAAGAGTACTTTTTTATCTTGACCCAATGCAATATCATGTATTTATTGGAGTTCTGGTTGTTAGCACTTTGTCAGTGTAACTATTTATTGCTTCTATAAAAGTTGTGAGTATTTAACTTACATAAATCTGCATCACTCTAAGAGACTTTCCATGTAATCAGCATGTAAGGTTAAATATCAAGTTTAAGCTTAGTTTAAGGCCATCAAATACGTATTCTGCTAATGAGCTAATGTATATTGAGCCTAGGAGGAAAAAAACCTCTTCTATGTGTTCACAAAATGCATAACAGAAGAATTCTAATTAAACATCTTAGAACTTAGTTGATATAGCAATATTCCCAGTGTGGGATTGTAATGGTATAATAGACTGCAAACATGCATCATATGCTTCGTTGCAGACTCCCCTACTTGTTTCAAATAAAATCTAACTGAAGTATATTTTAATACTTAGTATTTTTAAATAAATGTACTGTTAATTAATGGTACAGCCAAGACGGATTCAGAAAAGAAATCTTAGTTATAGATTATATGCTACATGCTTCAATAGCCACATGTGTGACCTCAATTCAGCAGTGTGCTATAGAGTCCATGATTAAACACTGTCATTATAACAAATTGAATAGAAACTGCAAGCATTGAATTGCTTCATAAGAAGTCAGTAGCAGTAAGATTGTCCTGATCTCAATGCTAATATTCACTGCACCAACCTTGTAAGGTTTGTATCTTAATTAAATTGTCATGAAAAGATGTTAAAATAGTAGTATACATCAGTTGGTGGGGTCAACTCATTCTTTACTAGAATATTTTCATTCAATTATTCTCTCCCTCACTTTCTCATCCAAATTACAATTATCACTTTATTTCATATGCACCATATATCTTCTGTGATGTTCTGATTTTGCATAGTGCAAATATAGCAAATAAAAAGGCTAGCTTTCTGCTAGAAAGGTACTTGTAGTTATAATTATAGTAAAAGACTGTTCTCTCTCTGAGAACATAAAATAGCAAAGCAGATCCTACAATGCCTAGAAGTAGTTATTGAATGTTGTTTCTTATTTGAAAGAGTATATACTTTAAAACTAATAGAGGGATTTAAATTCATGCCTTCCTCTTCTCTTGTTAACAGGAAAAGGCTTTGGATCAAATTCTGCCATTGTACTTGTTAGAATTATTCCAGTATGTTAGTAACTTGTTCCTTGGAGTAGTAAAATATTATTTGACATAATGACTTGCCCTCAGGTTTTACTGAATTATAATTGAAACACTGTCATGAAGATGCTGATGAGACCTATAGTTTAGATAATGCCTCTCTTCATTCAGGAATAATTAATCTTGCAAAGCAAAGTGAACAAGAACCAAATTCTATGACCTCTGCATCATTAAAGCATACTGAAGAAACTGTGGAAAATAGAAAAGTTCTTCCAGAGTGGACCACCAAGAAAACTACTAAAACAAAGGTATAAGTTAAAAAGTGTCATTTATTAAATGAGAGATGTATTGTGGTATAAAGAAGCAGAAATGGTGAATGGTTTTAATATAGTGGGAAGAATAACTAGCAGTCATAACAGGTACATTTATTTTCTTGTCCTTCATTTGCAATCCATTATTTATTAATAATAATAATAATACAGCACCTAAGGCCACTTTGCCCTCATGGTTTACAAACACGTTTTAATTAAAATCCTCACAGGCATTTTATAGACAAAGAAATGGAGACCTTTACCCCTGTTTTTCTCTTCAAGAAACTTGGTCTCATTTGTTTTCTTTCCATGAGATTCAGATAGCTTTTTTTTCTCCAGGTCGAGGTTTCCTTGTCTGTATGGCCATGTATGTGAGTGTTTGAGATGTACTATGACAGTATTGTGAACAGGAAAATTCTTGTATGTTTCTATGTGGTTTTGGTTAATCCCTGCAATGATCTGTCTGTCCTTCAATCTTGTCATGAAAACTGCAGGAAGAACAAACAGGCAAATTCTGTGTAAAAGCTACTTCTGATGCTTGTCAAGTTACTAATATTCAGGAACGCCAGGCTGTCAAGCCCCGTGAGAAGTATAGGGTCAGCAGGTTAGCAAAGAGAGAAAAAATTTTATCAAGAAAGTGGGCGTTAAGCAAGGGAACTGTCAGACTGCTAGCTAATAAGTCTTACATTACAAAAGGCTAAAAACATTTTGTTGCAGAGCTTTTTTGCATGTCTGCTTTATCCATGTATTTACCAAGTGGGTGTCCTGGTTTCCTTCATATATCCTCTCCTGAGGAAGCCTATGCCAAGGATGCACAGAACCTTTGGGCCAATCACAATGGGGTGCTTTTCCCACTCATTCCCAGTCAGACTCATGTCAGCCTCCAATAAAATTGGCTGTCAGGATCCTCTTGCCACTTATGCAGAAATGGGTTCTGCCCTTTATAGCTTAATGGCATTAGGTTACACTGTGAACCTATCTACTACAGCCTTATACTCCTGTGGGTCTGATGTGCCTATATTTATATGACCCATGCTCAGGATGTTTAGAACAGAAACAGGGAGCTAAAATTACTTGTATGTCATTGAAAAACTGGTGGTGAATCCTCTGTAGTGCAATAGTATTGACCTCCAAGTAACCACCACATCAGTGTAGGCTTCACCATGAACCAGTCGTGAATGACCACCTCTAGTCCCAAAACCATCTTAACACGATATGTGTGTTACTGCTAATTAGTCTGGCTAAGAATGAGAAGGTCATTGTGGGTGTAGCTTGCATATGAATGTGTGTAAATGGCTTCTGGACTACAGCCAGGCAAATGTTAGGTACAAGGGATGTAAATTTAGGAAGAATTTAGGATTTACTGGTTTAGAAAGCATGAATGTTTTCTACTGGCTGTAATTGTCTGTAGAATTGCTTAGAGCAAACCATTTGTTGTGTGATAATTTTGCATGTTACAAATACATTCTATTATACATATTTGAGAAGTTTAAAACTGAACTTGCTGAGCATCTCTGAGGATGCTGGTAGATTTGAAAACAATGTTACAGTGAAAAAAATGGTAAAATCTGGACTGTTTCTGCCAAACTGACTGAGAGGACTTACCAGGACAAGAATGTGTTATTTCCCCCCACGTCAGATTGATGATTATTTACTTGAAGGAGAAGTGGTTAGTTAAATGGGTATTGCAGACTTTTTTCCAGTTGAACTATCCAGATATGCTGCATGACGAATACAAAATGTTCCACTCTTAATACCATCTTCAGCATTATTTTGATATATATGCATCATCTAAATAATTGCAATACCCTTATTTGTACAGGACAGAGCTCTGAGAGTGTGTACTTACTCTGCAAGCAGCAGTGACACTGAACTGGAGCCAGAGTATGAAACAAATTATTTTAGAACTGCAGAGGAGACTTTTGTAGAGTTAACAAAGAACAACAAACAAGGTAATTGAAAATCTGTATGTAAAAATGTGTATCTCCACTCTGACTCAGCAGCAGATAGTGTCCTTTATTGAACTTTCTGTCTAGTTTTCACTTTCTACCCCCACATCTTGCTTCAGTCTAATTTTCTATTAGCTTTTTATTACTTTTTGCTTTTTATTCTATGTGCATATCTTTTTCTCCTTTCTTCCACAGTTTTTGCTAGCAGGGGGTTATTTGTAGGTTTTTATGCATAAATTCCTGCAGTGTAAGTAAAAAGAAGTCTTCTGTTACATTAGTACAAAATAAAAAAGATGGCTATAAAGATAGCTTCCTTTTTTCTTTTTTTCTTTTTTTTTAATTATATTAGCTGGTTGAAATAAAGCAATGATCAAGGCCATGGTTTTCCAATCTCTGTATCAGAGTGCCGAAGTGAAGTCTGTCCCATTCTCCTCCGTGTAAATATTGCCATTTTCAAGTATCAAACCTTTTTGCAAGAATTGATGGCAATTTGGAATTTACTGAATTCCAGTAGATAAAAACACATTAAGTGAAGTTCTTGAGATAATAGTTTTGTGTGCTTAATAACCCAAGAAATTGCTGTCTTGTCTTGACCACTGGCTTGCTGTGCTACAAGCTTCCTTTCAATGCAGATGTGAGCTGTCTGAGAGGGGGAGGAGAGTGCAGCTTGTATCCTTGCCTACGCAGCCGATGGCTTCCCTGCAGGAGATAAAGTCTGGCGAGTGCAAAGGCCAGTGCAGGGTCTCAGCACCACTGAAGCCCTCACAGCTTAAGCAGTACTTCAGTGATTCATAGGATTTGTGTTGACCCTCTGCACAGCAGTGAGCTTAACCTAGCAGAAATTAGCACCTACAGTAGATACCACAGTGAAGAATGTATTAAAAATGCCGTGGATGGCTAGATACTATTGACAAACACTGTTTAGTGTCTGCTGGGAGGTGGATTTAAAACATTTGGCTTTTTCAGAGCCAATTCTTTTTTTGTGATTCCATCAGAGAGAGAGCAGAGTAGGAAGCCAGGACATTTATTTAAATTATTCCTATAACTTTCTATCTTTAATCTAGATGAAATGTTGCAAAACATTTAAGTCAGCCCATAAACACTTCTTTTTACAGGTTTTGCTATTTAAACATCATGTTCTAATACAAAAATGATGTGTTTTGTTAAAGAAGTGTACAAGCACTTTTTTTCTGTATTGATCACAATTTCCAAATAAAGGGTTTTATAGTGTGCAAGCAGTGGCATTAAATGGCAGCAGATTCCAAGTTTAGTAATTCCTAAGGATGACTTGAAGTCACAGTTTTACATAGCAAATCATGAATTTTGTGTGTATGCCTAATATTTTGGGCTAGTGACAACTAAAAATCGTAATTATGATTAAGACAAATAGAAAAGAAAATTATAAAGCATTATTGCAAAAGTATTTCTGCTGTGGTCATTTGTTATGGTCAGGATTTCTGTTCCACACTCTATAAATGCAGTTCTCACATCGTATTAGGAACACTACTTTATTCTGTATTTAAAGATCCTAGCTTCCTTATGCTGACAACTCAAAATATCCATGTGAGGATGAGGCATAGGCTGCAGTAAACCAATTCATAAAGAATATTTTTATATGTATAGATAATTGTATTTATTAGATGAGTCCCCAAAATATTGATGAACTTTCACTGGTTGAACAATTATAATGTTGGAGTCATTTTCATTTTCCATTTATAGGCCGGGAACAGAAAGACTGAGTGCCCAATGGAAAGGCTGTTAAAAGTCAATGATAAGACCTTCATTAATTTAGTGGGCTTTGGATGAGAGTCCCAGTACATTGCCCAATGTTACAGAGAAGGTCAGTAGAATAGCAGGGAATAAGCCAAATATTCCAGGTTCTTCCATTTCAACCCTGAAAATATTTTGCTTCAAATTTCATGAAGGTTTTATCCCGACGCAATTCTGTTGGAGGCACTAGAGGCTAGGGTTCTTCTAGTGCTGTAAGTTATAAGTAGAGTTTAAGTTTGCGTAACAAAAAGTGTGAGGAAAGAAACTAATGATCGTGTAAGCCTCTGTCTCCTGTGCATTTTCATGAAGCTGCAGAAAATTTATTTGGTTTTGTTTTGATCTTCTGAATAAGTTTTCAGCCTTGGACTTCGAAAACTGAGGTTTTATTCCTAATATTCGTGTATTAGAGTAGGATCTGTAACAAATGGGTAGGATCTGTTTCTTACCTTACTGATGTATTTTTTATACTGTTGTATTCATTAGCTAAAAATGTAGTGAAAAGGAAAGAATTATCAAATATAGTAAAACTGAAAGTCATGCTAAAGGAACTTAGCACCTCTGCCATGTAAGACTATTAAGAGAGAAGAACAAAAACAAGTGTAATGATGACCCCAAATTAACTGTCCTGTCTATAATTAAAAAAGAAAGAGAATTAATTCTGGCTGTTTCATTCCACCTCTTTCACACTGAATATTAAGTATGAACAGTCCCCTTTATATGTATTGATTTGAGAGTTAAGAGCCAGTATTTAAATGCTTTTATTACATTGAATCCCAGATACCTTGAAACATTTAAAAACATTTAAAAATTGTAACATTATATTGCAATGTATATAGACTGCAGTTCATCAGTTAAATATGCCATAATGGTATTATTTTTAACACCTCTTACAGCTGAGCAGAAAAAACAAAATCAGAGAAAGTCATTTCTGGGGAATCCAATGTCAATCTTGGATTTATACCAACACAGTTTCTATGGCCATTTTGGAGAGGATGGACCTGAACAATTAACACATTACAGTTTAATTGAGCAGCTGAGTGGGGCTTCCAGTAAAGACATCAAGGGCAAGGAGAGCCCAAGTGTGAGTTACTATGGTTTTTATATTACTTCTCATTTTATTAATGGTTTTCTTTATTTGCCTCTTGTTTTTTACTCAGTGTGTTGATTGATAACAAAAAAACAGCATGACCTGCAGAAGACTAAAGATGTAAATATTTTTAGAACAGTGTTACATTCTGATGTTCGACTGTCATAGATTTAAACTAACAAAATTGACAAGTAGAGACAGGCTAGCACTAGCACTCTACCATTAGAGAGTTTAAATAAAAGGATAGCAAGAAAACACAGAATTTATCTTTTAAGAGTGCTCCTCCACGTAGTTAGATAATCTGTGTAGCAGAACATGTAGTAAATCATCTAAACATCTGTAGTATCCTGAAAATTCAAATGAAACCATGCTATGGAAGTCAGCTATCTTCTGGTCTCTTTTGAAATCAATCTTGGTGTTAGCTCTGGAACTCCTTATTTCAGGGTTTTAAACATTATTTTGATGAAGACCAGTTCTGATCTGATTGGTGGATGTTGATGCTTACTTCAGGTGAATCCACTTACTATTTGTCTGTAAAAACATTGAACATCATGCAGTATCAACAACCCTGAACAGCAACTTCTCAACCTGCTCTTTTCCTCCTCTTTTCTCATGCCTTCTCCTCTCATCCTAACACTTTCTGACTTTTTCTCTTCTATACTCTAGCAAGCCAATTTGTTTGAAAATGGAGCCACCCAGCCATGATCCAGTGTAAGCATTTTGCCTCCATGTTCAGCCTCTTTCCCCAGCTCTTCCTTTTAAATACAAGCTCTTTTGTTTCTATGTGTAGCACTCAGCACATTTTGGGTATGTTACAGTATAAACAATGGTGGTAGCAGAAAATAATGAATGAGCTGCTGCTTGTGTAGCATACTGGGTTCATAAGTGAAAAAGAATATTTATCTCTTTACAAATCCCAGTTTACAGCTTCATAAAATCACTGTGCATTGTAACTTCAGAGGTGATTAACCAAAGTTAGAGGCTTTCAAGAATGCGGGCCAAATGTGCAGAAGGAATGTGTGGAACAAACTGGCAATGCCCAGTTTACTCCAACTCTGCTGGCATTAAAGCCCAGCTTAACTGAATATAAATTGAGTCACAAACTTCAAAAGAAAAATCCTGAAACGTATCTGCCTCATTTCCCGATCAACCAAATTTCACTAGTACCCAGAATATGATTCAATTTGAACATATTTGGGTCATATTAGAAAGAGCAATTTTAAAAGAATCTGGCTTCATACCTAGGAAAAAAAAAAATAAAAAAAAAAAAAAAAAGGAAGGTAGCAGAAGAGTATTTAAAAGGGTAGATGAAAGAAAATACTTTGGACACTTAATTCCTCATCTTGAACATCTAGAAATTCACAGCTTAATTATGCAGATGAGATTAATTATATATGTATGTATCTATTTATATAAAAATATATAAAAATCAGTTCTGCCTTCTGAAGGCTTTTACTATTAACGGAGCTGTTAAGATTTGGTTCCACTACAGAGAAGTGGCTCAGAGTCGCATCTATTTTTAATTGATTCTTCTCATGCATTTTTTGCATATGACATCTCCACAGTGTGCCCAATCAGCATCAAAACTTAAACAAAACTAAGGCTTAAAGTATCCTTAGGATCCTTGTAAAAATCCACCAGTGAACTAGAAGGCAACAGGTAGAACTCAGCATTAGCATTTTTCATGCATTGTGTTGGAGGGCTTTTGAGATTACTTTTTAGGGATATGAAATCGCTCTCAAAACAGCATTGCCTCTCGGTGAACACTGAAAGCTCAGTAAAGCACTAGAGATTTGCCTATTAGTGTTAAGCTTTTCAGAATGACAAATGAGAGCCAGTAACCATGAAAAACAGGTTGCCCTGAACTTCTTATTTGAACTAGCACAGCAAATTTTTCTAAGCTGTAATTTGTCCAACCCAAGAAGATCCACAGTCTGTTTAAATTAGAACTGTGTGATCTGGAACATTACACCAAAAACTGAGGTACTTATGGCCAACAACTCTATGAAAAAAAACAACATAAATTGGGGGGGAGGGGAAATGAAGCTTTTGTGCAGATTATTTGGCATTTTGAAAAAGGAAATGCTGCGTGCTTTGAATTTCATTCCCAAATTTTGTGTGAAGCCTTTAAAAACCAAAAGAAAAAAAAAAATTGTTGTGATGGGCAGAATGAGGAGTTTATGCTGCTTGTCGAAAGAACAGTCTGCTGTGTCAGTTCCTCAGCCCATCTAAGTTGGACTGTACAGCACTGGTATGATAGTGGCTTCAGACTGGGTGCTCTAATGAGACATTCTGGCAGGAAGCTCTGTTAACCCACTTACTGTCTTTTGAATTGTCTCCTCGCTGAACATATTCACCAGCATTGCCCTGAAGTATATACACAACAAGTTTAATCAGCAAAAAAGTGTTTCATGGAAGGAGTTTCAGAAGGGAAAACACCAGTGGGCATTTGCTGTGATAAAGGGACACTCCATGGGCAGCTAGAGGAATCAAAAGAGGCTTTTACGCATTGAAAGGAGAGGTATTTATTGTTCCAGTTTCTTATCTGCCAAGTCTTAAAAAGCATCCTGGTTAAATTCGCTTGGCACTAAGACCAATTTTATGTTGCATTTATTTTGACCTGGGAAACATATTCTGAAATAATGTCATCATTTCACTGCAGAATTTTGGACAAGAAAAAAAAAATCACAATTTCAACGAAAGGAATAAGATGCATTGAATGCTGGCCATAAAACTTCCATTTAAACAAAGAGTCATGGTGTATTTTCCTCATGTAAGATTTTCAAAACAAGAAACTAATTTTTATATGTATCAAATGAATTAATTTTAATTGAACAGTAACTTCACTGATTTAGTAAAACATACATAGCACCTGATCCAAAGCTCAATGCAGCCAGCCTATGGCAGTCACCTATTCAGTGCAACTTCAGTGAGGCCTGCATTAAACAGCTGTTCCTCTTCCTTGCAGCAGTAGTAATGCCTTGAGCAGTTTGCTGACATCATGATTGCCACCATATTTTTGCAAGGAAAAAATTCTTTCACATTTCAATGAACTTACTGTTTAGACTTTAAAAGCTCAGCAGTTTACTTTTCCTTATAAGAGTTCAGAAAACAAGATAGATTTTCATCACCCAGGCCCATTGTTTATGAACAATGAGAACTAACACAAGACTTCTTGATATCTTCTTTAGTCCCTTGAAGAAGTAACAGAGATGGTAAAAGATTTTATTACTTAATCATCCTTATGATCCCAAAGCATCATGAAAAATACATTTTCTTCTCTATTTTTCACCAACCATCAGATAGTTCTTTTTTGTAATACAGCCCTTCTTGCTTTCCTTTGTCCCTATGTATTACTCAATTTGTGTCACCACCAAGGCTTGCTTGTATTTCAAGGCGTGTCTTGAGCACTTTAAAGAAAACACCCTTTGTGGAAGGGGTTGGTACCCATCACAGGTTTCTAAATCCTCTTGTTTTTCCTCAATTATGATGACATACATGAGAAATGTGACATTTCTGGTACAGCTACAATGTTGACTGCATCAGCAATTCAACTAGGAGGCCCATTTAACAAAAAAGGTTGTATGTGCAATGTGAAGTTACGATCACAGCAGAGTCTGTATGTGTAGTAGAGATGATTCATGAAGGAGATCAAATGCTCAAATCACTGTGTCTTGCAATCCAAGTATATATTAGAACTCACTGGCAAATACAGAAAAAGGAAAAATTGCTGCTGGTTTAGCTGCACTTAGAAATGGGACTGATGTGGCGTCATTCCCAGATATACTCAAGGTTTTTTACAACTGAGTAAGCTGATTGGGAGTTAATGCTATATGATTGACTCATTGTGTTCACAAGGCTTTTAATGCATCGTACTATCAGAAGGGAATATCCACAAAAAGACTAGAAGCAAGAATAACAAAACTTCGTAACTGCACAACACTTGCCATCCTCAAGGATCCCAGAGTTCTCAGCTGATTCTAGAGAGGATGTTCCAGCATTCCTGAATTACAGCAACAATTAAAACAGCCTAGACACCTCTGTAGGCTACACTAAACAAGAATAAGGGGAAAACAAAGGCAGGCATGAGCTGCTTCTGTTCATGTCTCATCTCTTACAGAGATCAGTAAGTCTTGAGCTAGGGTATGAATTAGCAGCACGCTGGGCACTTTCAGCTATTTAGGCAGATCTTGCAAAACGTGCCAGCAAAGTTTATGTGCCTGATTTGAGTTCTCCGAGGCACTTTCTGAAGGTGCCTTACTCTCTCTGAAAGAGAGAAGCTCTTAGGCTCCTAAATAAAGCCCTCTTAAAAGACACTCTTAGGCTCTTAAATAGAGCCACTCTTAAAGTCACATATTGAAATGTCTGAAGTAGTTCCAGGGAGACTGTGTACACTCTGCTTTCACAGAGAACTAATTTTTTTCACATTGTCAAAAATGTTGAAGGAGAGATTCTGTTTGTCACATGTGAAAAAGCCTAAAAGAATGATTTTACTCCAGTTAGCAGCTGGAAGAGCTGCATCCTAAGAGTTCAAAGTGGGAAGGTGGTATTGACCTCTGGAACTACTTGCTTCCATGCCTTGACCAGCAATGCAGCTAGCTTGTACTGAATACCAAACTTTCAACTCAGAGTTAGCAAGATGAACATTGCCCCAAGCATTCCTCTGTGGGGAGCTAGTAGAAAGTAGCTGTTGTAGCCACCATTTGTCTTTGAGAGAGTGAAACTGCACTTCTGTGCACCCTCAAGTGAGCACTAAATAATTACCTTGCTTATACTTCCATAATAATGAGAATTCCTGCAGCTGGGGCAGCACTGGGTGATATCTGGCTAGTTGCTTGGTCTCAGGATCTCAGTTTCACTGTCTGTAAACTCAAGACAGCAACACCTATCTCATGTTACAACCAGAAAGAAAACAGTAAACGCTCTAGGTGACCTAGGTCTTAGCTTGTCTTGTACAATGTGTGTGTTACTGCACATACAGAATTTGAATCAACTCTTACAAAATATTATACTAGAAAGTAACAGAAGATAGAGGGTGTCCCTTGTCAATAACAGAAAGTTCCTAGATGGCCTGGATCAAATCCAGGAATTAGTTGATTATGGATTTCTGTGTAATTCAGTCTACTGTGTATCAAGCGCAGAAACCTCACCTTCTCTTTGCTATTTTCCTTGCCTGACTAAAGAGAGAGGAAGATGATGAGTTGTATTTCCTTTCCCAGCCCTGATGAACACAAGATGTTAAGGAGGATACTGCCATTTTACAACTTGTAGATGGGGAATAAGTCTGCAGACCCATTCACCTGTCTTTTGTGTTTTAAGATCAATGCTTTCTTTTCATGTAAGGAATTGCACATCGCATCATTGTGTATGTTTACGGAGGGGGTCTGTTAATGTAAACATCAGGTGATGCCAGCCTAGAATCAGACATTCTAATACAGTCAGGATCTGATATCCTTTCTTCCTCCCTGTTACAAAAACTGAAAATAACATTTACTGTATTTATGCTTTTGTATTAGATCTGCAAAACTCATATCATTAGCACAGGATGTGTATCAAAGATCCACACAATGGATCAAAGTTTTATAAAGGACAGTATTGCAAAGGTAAAGTAAACTACCCAGCAGACTTGTATGTCCGTGTAGGACTCAGCACCTCTATTTTGAAAGCAGAGCGAACCACCTTGCCCAAAGAAAGGGAGCATGCTCTGAGCACCATGCTCAGATTGGCTAGCACCCAAGCCATGGGTGGTGTAAACCCGCCACAGGTGGTGTAGAGCCACGCACACATAGCTGCTTGGTTCGGAGAGCACCCCAGTCATGGAAGACCTGAAGTGGCACAGCTGGAGCTGGGCTGCCCCCGAGCTCGCTTGCTTCATCCATGCCTGCTCGCTCAGAGCTAGGCCTCTGAGCTGGTGCTGCCAGCTGAGGTCAAGTCTGCTGCCACCACGGGGAGGTCACCGAGAGCACACACACAAGGCCTTACCTCACAGGGACTGGAGTACTGGAACAGGAACTCTCTGCACCACAGCCCCCCCGCTCCATTCCCTAAATGTAGAATGTATGGCGGTCTTTAAGCTACATGTGTTTCCATTTGTCAAGTTGTCTCAATAGAATTTACCCACTGACAGGCTTGGGGTTGCAAGACTTCCTTTGTATTTAATCAAAGGCTTTTGATTCTCAGATGAATGATGCAATACTTGTTCCATCAAAGTAAAGACTGTCTGAGTAATTACCCAAGTTGATGTAAGATCCATTGTCAGGGGAATTTTATGGGAGTATTTGACAATGTAAGTGACAAAAACCACAGGAGCATGCTCTGATAAGAAAACAGATTTTACCATACCACCCATGGGAGTAGTACAGAATAAAAATATTTCTACTAGCCTCAAGTCTGATTCAACTCATGTGGGGAAATGTGAAATTAGAAATAGGCTATGATTTCTCCAGACATCAACGAATCCCGCGTCTCTGCATGTTTTTTTTTTTTTTTAATCCTGCATAGGGCAAGTTCACATTCTGAGATCTGCTACTGAGCCTTATATTCCTAATCAGGTCTTATTGTTTTGAGTATCTTGCCATCAAAGTTGCCCTCAAAAGTAAAGTGAAGAGACAGCAAAACAAACAATTTGAAGACTGCTAGGCAGTCTCCTGGGACCAAAGTCTCACTCGACATGTATCACTTAAAAGAAATGTTGTGTAGTGTGGAAGAACATTCTTACAGTTAGCCTGAGGAACTAGCTTGGCAACAATAAAAAGCTGCAGTTATACAGATACTCATTTCTCTCTCTGTGCCTTCTAGGTGAAACAACTGAGGCTTCTTACGCTGCTGAGAGTTTTAGTAAAAAATCAGGCAATGGAGAATGGCTCGGCAAGGAGTATGATAATATTCTCCATAACTTTTTTAAGTTTTTAAAAGGCTTTGGCAAGGCAAAACGACATTTGGAAGGCAGAGTCCATCAGAGAAAGTAACTTTTTTAATGGTATGCAAGGGATATTTTTAGGAAAAGCATACCCTAAAAAAACCTGGAAGCTGTTATCTGCTGATACGATTCTGCTTCTAGCACTAATGGACTCAGTAGTTTTAGTATTGTGCACCAAATCCCATTCTGACTAGCCCTCCAGCTGGTGTAAAAGTTCTATTTTATGTTTGGTTAGTGTATTTATGGGAACGGGTAGGTGGCGACATTTTAACTCAAATATCTTTTAGCACAGAGTTTTAAAAGAGTATTTGGATATTGGTGAAGGACAGAAAGTCTTTGGCATAGTACGGCAGGCTGGGTGGCATTTAAAACACATGGTGTGCAAGGCTAGCAGGAGAATAGTTTGGATGCGAGTCTAAGAGATGATGCGGAGGAAGTGAAAAGCTGTAGCTGCAAGAGGAAAGTTAAGGGCTTGAAGCATCACTGGCATGTAGGTGCAGTTTCTAGTGGCTATGGCACAGTGTCATATAATGCTAAATCCCCAGATAACTCACAGCACCAAGTGAAGTGGGCCCATGTAGTTTGTTGTGTGCCAGATGCAGGTGTGTGGGCTTGTCTGATTTAAGGCAACACACTGAGCTGTCCTGTGACCACAGCTGGAGTGAATATGAGAGAAGAACCTGGCCCCTTTTGAGTTGAAAAACTTGCTCACTGAAGCAGAAACCCCATATCCCACCATCTCAGCAAGTAATTTTAAATTACAGAGAGAACCTTGTCTTTTCAGCATGTAGGAGCAGCATAACCATGTTACCCACTGGCCCAGATCGCAGAGTCCTGCAGCTTATTTCCTGGAGTCCCCAGAGGAATGGTCCAAAACTGCTTACATACGAATGCCCAGAGCAACAGAGAGCTATACAGAGCTAATTTACAGTGAGCCTGCCAGGGCACAATATTAGCACAGCTCCTTTATGACTTGGTTACTCCGGGTCATTTCTCAGCAGGGCTGAGTAGCTGCAATAAGCAGGGTGTTGATAAGACCCCACTGCATTTGGTCCCAGCCCACCCAGCTTGCTCACTGATACCTTCACATCACACTGCACTGTGCCTTGCAGATACACTCTTAGCACTGTAGCGTCTATTTGCCTATATAATTGAAGATTACGGAAGGATTTAATAGCCACTGTGGATCCTCGGTGTAAGTAGGTAGATCTTTTAGTCTAATAAGAACCAAAAGTACATCTTGAATAGAACTATCATTTGTTAGTGATTTCCCTGAGTGGAAAATGTTCTGAGCTGTTTTTTAAAGGTTTGACAGATGGAGCTGCTGTGATTTGCAGCATGGCCCAAAGTGCACTTACTGTTGCTGCCATTTGTAACCAGACACTCTTCAGTCCTCCATCTTTGGAAATAAAACTTTTTGGTTTCATTTCTCTCCGTGTTGAATTGGAATATGACAATAATACTGTAGGCCAAAATGGAATTCAGGGCACATTAACAGCAACAAATGATAACTGTTAGTAAGTTTGTGAGATAGTGTAATTGTTGTAATGGTAGAAATTATATTAGTAATAAAAGAAAAAGCTAAAAAATAAATTGGTTGCAATAAACATTAGATTGACTCAATCAAGATAAGAGCAGTAGGGCAGAGAGGTATTCAGTGAGCTCTTTGTTTTCTGAAGCTGGAAAATATTTTGACTCCAAGAGGAGCATCTGATTAGCAGAGTTAAATGAGATGAATAATGCTGTAATTTATTTTTTTTTATTTTTTCCAGCTGAAACTTGCCTTCCCCATCTATAACAGTGATATGTTTTGCATAAAGCACTCAAACATCATGCAGGGAAGGGTGGGAAATGACTGATCTTTTAGTATGAGTTCTGTTCTGAGCAAAATACACGAGGAGTAAGTTGCACAGCTGGTGGTAGCAGGAACTGTGGCAGTATACTGGAAATATGTTACCAACTCTTCCTCTTTAAGACTATGCTTTTTGTTTTCATAGGTACACAGACAATAGTATCCTAATCAACATAGTCTTTGAAAATAAGGCAAATTTTATGGCAAATATCAGCAAAAATCATATTGAAATAATTTGCAGGTGTTTATTGTTTGTTCCACAAGCTGTTTTCATCTCCAAAAAGCAATTCACCTTTTATTTAAATGAGAAGTTAAACTGGATTTTCTGCAATATGAGACACATTGTCTAAATCCTTAAGAATAAATATCAGTTAAATATTTTTTAGGAACTCAAATACTCTATAGCAAGTCCCAAAGTGAAATACAGTAAGAAATATACAGTGCATATGAATTCCAGGCCTTGTGCATAATTCATATTATTTTAATGGAAAGTAATATTTGTATTTGGTAGAAGAAACAAATACAGGATTTAGCAGACTTAATCAGCAAGAACTGACACAGGGACGTTTGGGAAGTTTATAAGATATAGCTATGTAATTTAAAAGTCTAATTACCTTTCACAAAGACTAAGACGAGTGATGTAAGTTTTCATAGCACATGTGAGAGTCCTCCCAGCCTGAACTGCCCATCAATTCATCAATGACCGAGACATCCGGATAGCCTCGTTTCCGTTAGTGCCACCTTCTCTGCATTACTCCATTCTTCCATCCTTAATAGAGGTCACTAAAACATTTACACACCATAAAAAGCTGTGACCTTAAGAACTTCCCTTAAATGCTCTAGTGTTATTCTCAGCAAATAAAACCCCAAGTGATTATTTGAATTATCTGAATAATTGCCAAACATTTAAAAGTTATTTTTCTGATATCTTACTACATATGCATATATCCTGTGGGTTATTGAATGAATGCTCTGTAAATCACACCATAAAACAAGACCTCCGATGGATTTGGGTGGATGAAGAATAAAGCGGAAGTGGTTGGAAATCAAGAAATTAAATATGAATATATTATACTGGTAAGCATTATGAAATTAAAATGTTAACCATGCAGTAATAGCCTATGATATTTCTTAGAGCAGGAGTGTCTAAACTTTACCAAGAAACTGTATCTGCAGAAAAGTTACCAGATTGGGAAACTTGTTGTTAGCACATGTACTAAGATGCAAAGCAGATTTGGAATGTAAGAGCTTTTCAGACAATGCCTGAAACTGAGGAATAGAAGTACCTGAGCAGTTAGCTTCCTAATCATGGTGGCAAGAATTATTTTGCCCTGCATAGCCTAACTGGAGAGTCTTGTTTGTGGCCCTTAATTACTAAAAATATCAGCCAGATTTTTCAAGCTTCATTTCCTAATGGCTGTGCCTAAATTCATATTTAGACACTTCAGCTGCCCAGTTTTCAAAGGTGCTAGAAATCTGCAGCTTTTGCTGGTGTCTCCGACAGATACATATATTCGGATCCTGTGAAAATCATGGTATTTATATAGGTGCTCAAAAATTGGTTTAGATATTCTTCCACTCTCTGGCAGAATTTTGATCTGTAGCATCCTACTTCTGTAGATTGGCTTTGTGGGCAGTGTCATGGAACATCAGCAGACATTTTCCCCTGAGTTAAAAGGAAGGCCAAATAATGTGTATTTTTTCATCTAGTCCTACAACATTAAGATCATATAATAATGATTTTTTTTTGTATTTTTAAACCCATTTCTTTATTGCATTTTTCATAACAGTGTATGAGCAACTAAAAAATGCTAAAACTTTCATCTGTGTCATTTTACAGGCTATTTTTATGATTACTCTTACTGGAACATCATACTTTTCATGTTTCTTGGAACCACTATAACAAGCCACGGTACCAGAGAGTTCAACATTCCTAATATAGCATTTCTATAAATAAAATCCATTGTAAAAACATGGAATCCATATTACATCATTAACAGCACAGTGATGAAAACAGAGGCAGCAGAGCAAGCTAAAGAACAGGAGTCACCATCTCAAAGCTGCATAATATGGAGAGCTGTAGCCTTTCTGGTTAACTGCTGAAGACTAAATAGCCTTTGGAGGTTCTGTTTGCTCATGGTAGTTTCATCACTTGTAGTGGTGATCCTAGAAGGTGAAGCGCCTGGCTGTGGTGGAAATCTAGGTATGAAGACACCTTCTTGTCTTGTTTTACAAGGCAGATGCTGTTAGTTTTTTTCCTCACATTACATAAAAACTATTTGGTAGCTCAGTATGTTTTTTAAGTGGAAAGGGGGCTAATACTGATGGCATCTAGTAGTATCACTGCATTTAGCTCAGCAGTGTCCTTCTGTCCCTGTGAAAGTGTTTGGGAACCCATATATTCTCCAGCACAGCCAAAAACTTTGATATCAAGTAGGGAATACTCTGGACTTGAGATTTCAGGTATCTCCTGCCATTCCTGTGGGAGATAGAGCTTCTTTTGCCTCCATATCCTGTTTCTCTAGAAGGTAGTCAGTCATGGTGTCTGGATGTCAAAAGATAGAAGAATACAGATTTATGAATGCATCATTATATAGATAATTACCATTCAGGTTTACTCAGGGGCAGAAACTACTTAGTGTCCACAGGCCCTAGGACACAGGGCATGAACAGAAACATCTCCATAGGCCCCATAGGCTCTGAATAGCAGAAAACCCTTGAGCTTTTACACAAGACAGTCCAGTAGAAATAAAATCATAGAGAACTCAAATTGATGTATCAGAGTCTGGCTTGCTGTTGCTGGTGGCATTAGTATTTGCTAACCTGTGCTAAGCCAATTCTGTAAGACAGTTGGGAGTTTAACAAACCTATGTCAGATTGTATTTTGGAAGAATCTCAAGCATGGGGGAAACTGGTCATGTTCTGTTCATTGCAGCAGATGGTATCCCATTTGGTGTTTGTTAGCTTTGTTTGCAGCTCAATATTTTGTTTCTAGGGGAACTCAGTAAGTTAAATAATTTATCTCTCTAATGCATCAGGAGTCTGCTCCAAAGTCTACTGAAGTCAGTGCAAAACATTTGATTAACTACCACATACACTGGAT